TAAGATATAAGGGAAGGAACGTGCAGAATGGGCAAAATTCGTGTCGTTATTTCTGCCAGACGAATTATCGAAGAAAGTTGGTTTTTGTGCCGGAGGATAGGTGTAATAGGAGAGAATGCCAGGCCGCCGTCAACAAAGGCACTTCCAGCAGATAGACGATTTTACGAGGGGTATGGTGATTGGACTGAGAAGGGCGGGTTGGTCCACATGGAAGCGAGCACGGTGCATCGGCTATGGCGAACATGGTGGAACAAGGAAATGTGGGAAGAAGGAGGGGTGCAGGTGCAGCCAGAGTGACGTCAGCACGCGTGGATCGACGCATCCGCCTACAAGCTGTGTCGGTCCCGCAAGTCATTTGTACCACAATTCTGCAGCATGTGCAAGATACCCTGGATGTTCCCCTGTCGACCAGAACCATTTCCGTCGATTGGTTGAAAGTGGCTTGCACTCACGGCGTCCGTTAAGAAGACTGCCACTGACCCCACAGCATAGACGCCAACGTTTAGAATGGTGGCGGACTGGAGCGATGTGGATGACAGAATGGCGAAACGTCGTGTTCTCAGATAAGTCACGCTTCTGTTTATCCAGTGACAGTCGCCGCATACGTGTGTGGTGTGGACGTGGAGACAGATCTAATCCGGCAGTAACTGTGGAACGCCCCACCGCGCGACAACGCAGCATAATGGTTTGGGGCGCTATTGCCTACGATTTCAGGTCACCTCTAGTTCGTATTCAGGACACTATGACAGCCTAACGATACTTGGATAATGTACTGCGGCCGGGGCTATCCTCTACCTTCAGGGGCTGCCTAATGCAATTTTTCAGCAGGATAACGCCCGACCACACAGTGCTCGCATCTGCCAACATGTTCTGCAAGGTATACAGATGCTTCCCTGGCCACAGTTTAGTTTAGTTTAGTTTACGAGTATGCTGCAACCCTCCTGGCCGACAGTAATCGGCCTCATGGTTAACGCAGCACACCCAACGCAGAAAAACAACAACAAAATAATATTAAAAAAAAAAATAAATAAATAAATAAAATATTAAAATATTTAAAGTCCTATTCCTATGATAGTCTTATTTTCATTCACAATCCTCATAATTTCTGTTGCATAGCTATTCAAGAATTTTCTTTTTTTCAATTACATTTTGTTCATTTATTTTTCCAAATCTCGTCCTCACACTCTCGGTCAGTTTACATTCTTCCATAAAATGAGCTGCATTTCCGTACTTCCCACAAGCCAAGCATTGATCATTGCCCTGGAGATTAAATCGTTTTAAATAGGCCGGGAATCTACCATGATCCGTGATAACTTGAATAGTATCTATATTATAAAATAGATCCATTTTTCTTTTTATGGTCAAAATCCTCAAGTAACCCTTATTTTTATTTGAACCATTCCATTCCCTAGCCCATTTCTCAATTATACTTGCTTTCATTTTTCTCAAGGTAATTCTTCTGGAATCATTAATAGCCTCATAAATATCACCCTCTCCCAGGGCAGCCTCTTTAGCTAGCATATCCGCCCTTTCCATTCCGATAACACCAATATGTGCCTTAACCCAATGAAAATATATAGCATTTTTCTCTCTTATTTTGTTATAAATGTTTTTTATATCCAAAAGAAGTCTATTGCTTGGTTCCGGATTTGCCAAGCCTTGTAGGGCCGAGAGAGCATCAGAATAAATATGTATTGTAAAGTACTGTTTTAAGTTTTTATAACTCCACCGCAGTGCCTCTCTAATTGCAACCGCTTCAGCTTGATACACTGATTTATTTCCTTCTAATCGTATTTTTCTAGTATAGATTTCGACTCCGTAATAAAAAATAACAAAAGCGCAACCAGTTCCACCTTCATATCCGGAGCCATCAGTGTATATATCAATCATGCCAGTATTCATATAATCTTTATCGTACGGTATGCCCTTGAAATCTTTTGGATGTATATTCATAAAATATTTTCTTGTCAAGGCGTTAGTATTCAAAACATCACCATTTTCAAATGTTAAAATCTTTTTAAAACCATAGCTGAGTAAAAATTTTGCATAATAAAATTTATAAAAAATTGAGAGTGGCGGAATGCCAGCAAGTAAGCAAATAACTTCTGTAGAAACAGTACGGAAATCCCTTGTGATTGCAAGTAGCCCCTTTGCAATGAATCCAGTTTAGTTCTCAGTCTAATCAATTCCCCTGCCCGGCAGCCCCACATGCCAATACCATATAAAATTTTTGGCCTAATAACATTTAAATAAATATCTCTAAGGGTAGTGCTTTTTAACTTTAAAGTTTGTGAATCAAAGGCACTTCTATAATATTTTAAAATTTTCTCTATATCTCTGTGAATCGCCTTAAAATGTTCAATAAAAGTTAGCTTTTCATCAATAATCACTCCAAGATATTTAAAGTGACTTTTAAAATTAATCTTTATACCATTAAATTTCAACTTTGGTTTTCTAGTAGCCTTACCACCCCTAGGAAAGAAAATGGCATTTATTTTTTCATTGTTGAACTCTATATTTTCTTCTCTACTCCAGTTCATAAAATTTTCCTCTAAACTCTTAAAAGTTTTTTCAAGTTTCTCTAAAGAGTCATCATAGACAATAGCCAAAATATCATCTGCAAAGCAGAATAATTCAACACCAGTCATGTTAATAAAAATTTTATTGACAATGAGGCTCCAGAACAGGGGTGCGCTGCAGGAGCCTTGAGGACATCCTCTTTCAATATCGTAAACAAGATGGACAGAATCATTTTTATTTAAACAATCTTCCTATTTTTTAGATAATCTTTAATAATTTCAAATAGTTGTTTTGTGATCCCTATTTTCTTCAGTTCAGATAGCAGGGACGGCCAAATAATTGAGTCAAACGCTCTACGGATATCGAAAGAGATCAGGGCAACATGATGTCTTTGCTTCTTATCTTTCAAATGAAATAAAACGTTATATAAGGCCAAATCCGTAGACTTGCCTCGTTGAAAGCCATATTGCCTGTCACTAATATAGTTTATTTCTCTTAATTGTGTTTGAATTCTATTTGTAATTAGTTTGTCATAAATTTTTGCATACGTCTTTAAGAGGCAAATAGGTCTATATCCTCCATTACCTTTTGGAATGAGTATCATTTGACCAATTTTCCAAGCATCTGGAAAAATACTCAAATAAAGACATCTATTATATAAAATCAAATGAAATGAAGGAAACTCCTCAAATAATTTCTTAATAAGCCAAACCCCGATCCTATCTAATCGGGGCGGGGGCAGAATGGAACTCTTAAACACTTAATCGTATAAGAAATTTCTTCATAGGTAAAAGCATCTTCAATTTTGTAATCATCTTCCATATTGACCTCCCCGCGATACTTAAATCACTATCCTGCTTTCCATATATGACTTCTTCCACAATTTTCCTATAAATCTCCTCCACAGAGGCGACCCCCACTTCCTGTGACTGTTTCAAAATCATATGACTTCCTAATCTTCCTTTTGCAGTTCGATAATAATTATCATAATACTCCTCGTTTAGTAGAAAGATCCTATTTATATAATTTCTTTTAGTTTTTTTTAATTTTCTTTTTGTAAAGAGCTCAATTTCTTTTGTATTCAATTTTTCTCTTAAGTCTAACATTATCGTCGATCTCGCTAACCTGGGAACTCTTCCTTAATGCACGAATAATCCTTCTTTGCTTGTCCACCAACTAGTAATTTGTCTTTGTTTTTTCTTACATTTTACTTTTAGGTACTTATCCATATTATCGATTAATAATTCTTCCAGTCGAGAAACGCACTCATTCATTTCCATTGAAGTCTCGCACTTAATTATTCTATCTTTATAGTATTCAATGCTTTTACCAATATTATGAAGCATATGTTTGACTTTTCTTAAATTTCTACTGTAAGCAAAGAAGTAATCTTCTTCAATTTGGAAATCTTTTCAGTCTCACTAAAATATATTTATGATCACTCAGTGATTCAGCATCTAGAATTTCCATTTCAGCGCTCCTCATTTTTAGTGTCGACGACCCAAGCGCGAGATCAGTCCATCCAACACCCACCGGCGAGGAAAAGGTAGGTCTAGAATCACTATCGTTAAAAAGTTGTAAATCATGTTGTAAAATAAAATCGTTGACTAAAATCCCCCTTTGATCCAAAATCTTAGCCCCCCAGTTAAAACTTTTAGCATTAAAATCACCAATTATAATAAAATCTTCTGCATATACGTTAAAACCTTCTTCCAGTTCACCAAGATGTTCATTCAGGTCTTCCGCCGGTGAGAAATAAACAGAGGTGATACTCATTTTAAAGCCTTCCCTTTCTACAGTAATTGTCACAATACAATCGGAGGCCGCCCCTACGGAAAACTCCAAATTTTCATTCACAATAATAATGGCCGCTCTTCCGTTATCTGCGTTTATAGTCCTCCATGTACTTTTAACGTGTGCCATTTTGCCTTCTATATAATACGGTTCCTGCAGCGCAATAATATCTGGGGTATCACTCAAAATGTTATCTATAGCTGAGAGCTGGACTGCTGCAGCTGCACAATGATTTAAATTAAATCCCTGGCCACAGTACTTTCCTGACCTGTCACCAATCGAACATGTGTGGGATGTGATCAGACGCCGTTTACAGACTGTGCCCCTGCCTCGTTCAGAAGACGAACTGTGGCAAATGGTTGAAAGGGAATGGAGAGCCATCCCTCAGGACACCATCCGCACTCTTACTGACTCTATGCCTAGATGTGTTTCTTCGTGCATCGCTGTCCGCGGTGGTCCTACATCCTACTGAGCCGACGCCGTTCTCGCTCTGTATTCTGACTATCATTTTGAAATAAAGATCACTTACTGCTGCTTGCTGTCTCTGTCTTTTTTTCCGAATTTCATCACTTTCTGACCACTCCTTCTTGGTGTTGCATTTTCAATGTCGAGTAGTGTATATTATATTGTATTATAAACTTCAATTTATTATTTTTAAAAATCATAATTAAAGTTCTTTTCTCTAGCAATTTGTTCTTTCTTGGCATAAAGACATCCGTCCCCAAAAGAGAGGCCTGTGCTTTGATGTCTCGAGTTCTGAAAAGCGAGCTCCAGTAGTTCTTTGGAATTGTCATGGAATGCAAGGCAATCAGCTGTGGAAGCATGATCTAGTAAGACTTTGAATTAAAATGTGAATTTATTACAAGGATTTCAAAACTGAAAGATTTATCGTGTTCATTTCTTGACTAATGACCAGCAGTTTTTCTTTAATTACATACATTTTGGGTGCAACTAATTGTTGTAAAACCAAAAGTCATGCCCCAAAATGTTATAGAAAGATGTTATATGGTATTTCTTCCGCCTTCTTAGCATGCTTTCGTGATGTAGTTTCGTGGTGTTCTTCTTAGCATGCTTTCGTGGTCAGCACACTCGGCGCGTATGCGAGAAGTCCGTGATTCGAGTCACGGCCAGGGCATTACTCATTTTTCACATCTCTCCTGCTTTAAAAAACCCCTAATGTTGGCGCCCGAACTAAAAAGGGTAGAGGATGATGATTGGGTCCCATAATCCCCAGTCGCCGTTAAAAGGAGGAGTATATAAAGTATTTTTCCCGCCTTCTTCGTATGCTTTCGTGGTGTACATTGGGCGCATATTCGAGAAGTCCGTGGTTCGAGTCCCGGTGAGGGCATTGCTCATTTTTCACATCTCCTGCTTAAAAAAAAAAAAAAAAAAAAAGCCTAATGTCTCTACAATGTTATGATAAAGATGGATGTTATAAAAATTGCATGTGCCTAATAAACAAGCATTTTTTAGATAGAAACCAGTACATGCGTTGTATTGATGCAATAATCCAAAATTTAAGGTATGATGAAAATTAATCTTTCTTATCCTAGTGTCAGCGTATAAAATAATAGCTGTGCTTACTCTATACCAGCGGTTCTCAGCTGGTGGTACGCAAGAGAAAAATGAGTGATACGCAAAGAAACAAACTATTTTTAACTATTAAATTCAAACATTATATACCCAAACATCCTGTTTAACTTTTTTCTCTAACACTGGTAAATTATGCGATCTGACTTTTGTTCAAGGTTAATAACCGCTCACAGACTAGCAAAATAATCCGTTATTTTCGCAAATATGCGTTTAGCCATCCATATAACAAAATTTGACATAATAATGTTTTTAAAAGGAGTATTAGAAATGTATACTATATTTAATAGGAAATTAAAATAAGTTCCTATGAAAAGATAATAGTCTCATTAACTTTTTTAGAGTTGATCGATTTATTAGCATGTCTGCACTTTATGTCGTCACCATTTCCGGGCTCATATTGCTCTATTTTAAATTAGAAATGCTTTTTTACGTCGATTTGCTGTCTCTAACAGCAGGTATTTTGTCTTCTTGTTGCTTTGTATTGCCTTACTTTTTACGCGATTTGAGAATATCTTCGGGTTTTTTGGGGGGGGGGAAGAACTCTTAATAAATTGTACATTTAAATATTTGTGAAAAAATAATAAAACAAATCTAGATTTTTCAGAATGGAAAAATGGCTAGGATTGGCTAAGCGGAAAAGTGATGATTCCCAGGTGATAGATCCAGGACAAACTACTAGCACTAAGACTATTGAAAAGAAAATGTTTATGGAAAATATAATGAAAGTTATTTATCATTTGGGTTTACTTGAAATGAAGATGAAAATGAACTTGCACTGAAGTGTTATCCAATTAAGGTATGAAACCATCGTTCTTAAAAGACATATGGAATCTAAGCATGTCAATTTAAAGGATAAACCTTAAGAATATTTTAAGGGAAAATTATCGAGTTCAAAAATAGTAAACAAGCAATGAAAGGTTTTGTTACTTCCAGTGAAAAAGCTTTGGAAGCTAGTTACCTAGGAAGCCTAAGGATTGCTAAGATTGGGCAGGTGCACACTATTGGAAAAAAAACCTTATATTACCAGCAGCTTAAGATATTGTTTTAACATTATTCAACGAAAGAGCGCTAATGAATTTAATAATATTACATTATCAAATAAGTAAGTAGACGAATTTATGAAATGGCAGATTCCATATAAGAGACACTTATAATAATTTGAATATAGACAATAATTGGAAAATAGAAGAAGAATTAGCATCCAACATTAAAAATCATTGTTTTTAATTGATAAGTAATTTCAACATGTATTTTCCAAAGGATTATGAAAAAGAATATTGGATTGGAAATCCACTTTGTTCAAATGTACCCACAATTTATCTCCTGAAGAAAAAGAACAATTGATAGAAATTTCCTGCGATCAAAATCTAACTGAAGATTGCAAAAACCACACACTTGTTAACTTTTGGGAAAAGGCAGCAAAAAAAAAAAAAAAAAAAAAATTAAAGGCATTTCAAATAAAGCTATTAAATTTTTATAGCCTTTTTGCACAACCTATTCGTATGAACAAAGATTATTATCCATGTTATTTTTTAAAATGAATACAGAACAAAATTAAAAGTGAATCCTGGTGTACGATTAAAACGAAGTGAAATAAAACCATACATTAAAAAACTGATCTCTCTTAAAGAGGCCCAAATTTCACACTAATTTTTAGAATTAAAGTATTATACGTAAAATTTTGATAATTTAAATGGTAACCAATTTTTAATGTAATATTTTTTATATGTACATATTTAATACAAATAGGCCCAAATTTCACACTAATTTTTAGAATTAAAGTATTATACCTCAAATTTTGATAATTTAAATGGTAACTAATTTTTAATGTAATATTTTTTATATGTGCATATTTAATAGAAATAGCCAATAGGTTGTGCAAATGCCAAATTTTTTTTTAAATATTTATATTGAGAAATTGAAAAAGTATGATTGTAAAATGTAGTGCTGGTAGTAAACTTTTCCAGTTTTTGTTTAGATGGTACGCATTAGTCAACAGGTTGAGAACCGCTGCTCTATACTGTTCTGCAAAGTAGAAACACAACTAAGGTACAAGCGATTACACTGCTCTGCATTTTGAAACTTTTTGTAGCTCCCCAACATTTTTGGGGGGGTTGTGTCTATTGTAACGTGCTGAATTCAAATATGAGCTCGGTTTTTACATATCACCCGTAAGTTTTTAGAGAAGGGAAGAAGAATATAAAATACGAGAAACAAAAACCATAAGCAATCTAGTGAATTTTCAAAGATTAAAATAACTTTTTTTTAACAAAATATACTTCATTTTGTATAGGAAAAAATATAATATAATCAAATAAACTATTTTGTTGCCATTTTGGACTAGTCTTTGCTGGAATCAGTTTCATATTTGAGGGTCCAACAGTATTCCGCTAACATGTTTGGGGTTCAAACATGTCATATCCACTGCTTCTCCATTTGAACAATTTGCTGGTGAAATCTTCTGCCGTGTTTATCTGAAACTGCACCTAAATTGTCATGGAAGAATTTCAAATGGAAGTGAAGAAAATGCAGCTTAAGTGACATGTTGCAACCTAACGTCTTATAAGATTGGATAATCTTTGTAGTTCTTCGATTTCTTGTTACCTAAGAAGTTGCTACATACCCTTTTGAAGGCAGTCCATGCTCTATTTTCTTTCTCGAAAGTGTAGTTTCAAAATTTTCATCTTTAAAACGTTCTCGTATTTGTGACCCAAGAAGCAGTCTTTCTTCATGTTTTGCCTCACTTTTATGTGCAAATTTCCATCTCAAATAAAGAAAAGCATTTCTTTCTCTATTTAAGGCTTTAACGAAAAATTTTATAAGACATATTTTTATGTGCAGAGGAGGTAAATAAATTTTCTGATGCTCTACTAAGGGTTCAATGAGGACGTTTTTCAGATTGGGCACCATATCTTTACATAACACCCAGTCTTTTAATGACATAATGTTGGTTTTTGGCTCTGCTGTTCCATTCGCATAAAAATAAACTTTTAGTATAGCCACTCTGCAATCATGTGAGCAGTGCAACTTTTATATCAGTACCAGATATTTCATTTACGATCTTTGTAATTTACGTTTTGAAGTAATATACGCATGTCCTCATACGTTTCTTTCATATTTACAGCATGACCCATGGAAAAAGATTGTCATTCATTTCCATTAAACAATAAAACTGCCTTTAGACTTGTCTTCGAAGAGTCAATAAATAATCGCCAATCAGCAGGTTTACAGGACATGTTGATGTTCTCTAGATTTTGCTACATGATATGACAATTTAAAAATCAGTGTATCATAGATAAAAATTATCGAAATCACACATTAGTTCAGTGTGGAGGATTTTCATGTAGAACAGTGCTATTTACTAACTAGTAGCTACTTCAATTTATCAGTCTGGCAATTTAAAGATTATTAAAGGGAAATGAAAGATTCTTTATATTGCCAATATACGTGAATAATATATGTATATTTTTTTCACTTTTAAATGTTAAAGTTAACCTGATATACTAAAAATCAAGAATTTGATATCTAACTTAATGTCCTCATTGAACCCTTAGTAGTCAAACGTCCTCATTGAAATCTTAGTAGAGCATCCGAAAATTTCATAATTTTTTATCTAAAAAGTCAGTTTCAATAACAAACATATTGATCACCCATAATATATACTATGATACTGGTTATATAGTTATACTTTGAAAAACCTTTATATATTTATATGTGTATAAAGATATGCAAGGTGTTTTAGTAAATCAGTTTCAAACTTTCAAGACAAAAATACTAAACCTAAATGATGAAAAATCACACAGCAGTGCATGGTTGAAAAGATTTTTCCTGGCACAGTACTGACAACATAAAACATAGGAAAGGAAAAACACGAACAGGGTGAGGAAACATGTTTATTATGCTTAGTACAGCAGAAATCAGTACAGCAGAAATCAAGAAATAAGAACAAAAATAGACAATGATCGTCATTAAAGAAGGTGTTCAAAATTATGACCCAGGACCGTGATGTAGGCCTCATATCTCTGGCGCATGGAAGATCTGCATCACGCAAGGAAAATCGCATGGAATATACATGATACACAATTTCAAACACCTTCTTTGATGATGATTATTGTCTATTTTTGTTCTTATTTCTTGACTTCTGCTATACTAAACATACTTTCTCACCCTGTTCATATCCTCAAAATGATAATAATCCTCCCCTCAATTATTACAGGAGCTTCTTTACACTGACTAAATCTGCCCAAACCAAATCTTCTTTATAGCTTTCTAAATTAAAATCTCTACAATACTCTATCTCTCCTCCTACTTGCGATTTGTGTCATCACTACCGTGCCAGAAAAACATTTTCGACCATGTATTGCTCTATAATTTTTCATTGTCTAGGTGTACTCTATTTCTCCTGAAAGTTTGTAACCGATTTGCTGAAACACCCTGTATATGCATTGGAATAAAGTTTAAAAAATACTACATTCATTACCTTTCTTTCTCCCCCCCAGGGTAGCTTGCATTTGATACATCTAATTACGGGTAACTGCCTGGATAGTGATTCAGAAAGGAGAGAAATTTTTATGGAACCATGTGATCGACGTAAAAGGACTCAAAAATGGAAATTTGACTATGTTAATGTAACAGCAATTTTGAATTGGTGAAAATGACAGCACTGTAACTGATTTGCATAAAAATTTGGTGCTATATTACAAGCTCTGACTCCTGAGTAAACTTGTATTAGAGTATTACAAAATATTAGAAAAGAAAATTAAAATAATTTCATTTTCTGATTTATAAAGGAAATTCAACTGCACTGGAAATATCGTTGCAGGTATGCTCTGAATCTTCCCCCCAGAAGTGTGTTTAAAACACAAAATTAATGAGACAAAAAATTTTTAACAAAAATGTTTAAGCTGTGCAGCATAGAACGTTAATATTACAAAATTTATGAAGTAGATTCAACCAAAATGTGAAAAATCTCCAAAGTTCTATGTTTCTTCAAATAGATAATTCCATTTTATATAGTAAAAATAGTATTTATATCTCATTGTTTAACATAATATTTCATATACCAGAATTTACAATGTATCATGTAAAAAAAATAATCATAAACTATATAAAAGATTTCAGGTAAAGTTAGCACGTAGCAGCAGCATGTTGACTTTTCTAAGAGTCAGAATTCAAAATTGGTAAACAAAATACTGGCATTCATTTTGAAAAAATGCTCAAAGCATTTTGAAAGAATCCGGCACTAATCTCCCTTTCAATTCAAGAAGAAAAATTATTCAGCAATGTTATGTCTCATTTAATAGCTTAAATACAAAATAAATCAATTACATAACTAAACAATCAATATGTAAATTCATGAAATTACAAGTTTGTCTTGTTTTAATGTTTAACAACTTTGTTAGATGCATTTTTCAATTACAGTTAAGCCTACGAGATGGTGTGTTATCTGTCATTCAAGCATTAAGTCCCCAAAGATACTGAATTTCAAAAAATCTTAGGAATCCTTATCTTTCACATGCTAGTTCAAACTGAAACTTCATGACAACTTCCTGCTTCATATATTGATGATGGCAGTAGAGTATCCAATTCTTCTACAAATGCAACCGCATATTTCCTTTTGAGGAAAGACCTTTAAAAACACTGCCTCAGACTTCTTTGTGTCTCCACCTCCATAACAGTCCTTTTACCGTGATTCATATCCTCAAGCTGACAGAATGACTGAAGAGTTGCAGCAGCTCTTGTCTTTTTAAATAGATGGTGTTCATCAAAAATGTTTTATCCAAATAATACATTGAAAAATCTGTTAGCTCTTATTCTTTGCATTTCTTAACAAAGTTAATACCTTTCCCACTATAGTACCATCTGCTCAATATAACAGTAACTAAAAAATTTACATAATGAAATATTTTTAATAAAATTCTATAATTCACATAAAATCCTTCAATTTCTGTGTTTATTGTATTATCACATCATGCACATTTTTGTAGTTTATGCAAATACAATTTTTAAAGATGTTTGCAGTTACGATGATGTGCTGAGTCATTAAAGATTTGATAATGGTAGATGCAGGACAAATGGTGCAGCAAAAAGCTAAAAATTCTCTATAACAATGAGGCAAAAAATCATCTGTAACTTAAACTGGAGGATTGTGCAAGATGTTGAAAATTTAATTTTTTTATTTACTTAATTTTGAGAAATATAATAAAATAATTATGATTGTTAATGACATGGCTGATAGAGCTCTTCAGGCTCACAAAGTTTAAGAACTGGCCATCTACCATTTTTGTACCTATCAGGCCTTAATACCTTGTAAAATCTGCTTTTAAGCATCATAATAGTATATATTTTGCATTTGTACATTTTAAAAATTTTGGATTATGAATAGAATAAATATCGTAACTTTTACTACTAAATAGATGCTTTACTGAAATCCTTGCATAAAACAAATTCTCACCATACTTTTAATTTTACACTATTTTTCATAAAAGTGAAAATCTTCTTTGGTTTTCTTTCATTAACCAAAACAAAATTACTCATTTACAGTTTTTATAAAAGCAAAGTTTTATGATTTGATTCAAAAGACTTCAAAAACATATAATGCAATAATAGATTCTTTAATTTAGACATTTTTGAGTATTTTAAAAGCTAAGTAATTAGACTTAAATATTTTTTATTCAAAAAACAGTACTTAATTATCATGTGCAATATAAAGTGTATAAAGTGTGTTAAAGTAATGATAAAAATACATAAGACACAGAATTTCCTTTGCGATTTCAGAAAACAGATTAATCCTCAGCAGATGGCAACTGCATATATGCAATGGACCATCCTCATAGTTACATAGGTCTAAATCTTTTCTCATTCACAAAGGGTTAAACATGAGACAGTAAATAAATATTTAGAAAACATTCTGAGGTAGTTAGGAAACATCATTTATTTTATATAGGATTTTTAGTCTACTCAGAATTCAAAATTTTAAAATATACAAATGCAAAATAATACTAATTTAACAAACAATAAAAATCATATTTAACTTTGCATGTACTTAGCTCTTTCAAAAGTATGCAGACAGAAAAATAAACTTGCAAGTATGTAATTTTTTTCATTTATTTTATTTAAAAATTAGCCTTTTACATAACATCAGTTATTCTTCAATAAAACTCCATGCAGAGAGAGATAAAAAGTTACAACATAATCTAAATAAATACTTTAAACTTTTTATAAATATTTTTAATCGCTCACTGTCAGTGGTGGCATATTCAATACTTCCCTGATATCATTTATATTCTGTTCCCATCTCTTTTCAAATGCATATCCATCAGAAACTTTGCTTTAAACCCACATTCAGTGGCCCATGGATGTTTCAAGTATTTCTGGAAATTTCTGAAGAAGAAATACAACTGGATTGAATTATATATGTAACAATTAACTGTAAAGGAAATTTCAATTTAATATAACTATACATATATTTTAGATTTTAGCACTTCATAGCAACTGAGGAATTTACTTAAAAAGGAAATCTTTTTAACAATCACTACTGTAAAAAAATGTTGCTACAAGGAAAAATTCTAAAACAAACTGCTCAGAAACTTTCACAACTAAACAGCCATGAAAGACAAATTAAGAATGCAATTTCATTTCACTCTTTTTTTTTTTTTTTTTTTCTTTTTCCATAAAGAAATCAGCTTTTGTAATAAAATAAAAGTCTACATAAACTTCCCATTGGTAAATTATCAAAGGCAAGTTCCAAATGGTTCATGTGTCGGTGGAGTCTATAAGCTAATACTAGATGTAGCACTACAATGGATACTGCAAGTGATGGATAATTTAACAGAGAGGTACAACAAAATGGTTTCCAACAGTCTGCAAGCTAAATTTAAATGGAGCTGCTAGAATGGTTGCTATAAAGCCTACTGGGAGTAAAATATCCATGCAATTTTCTTTGAAGGAAATTTAAGATGAAATGACATCAGCAGCAGTAAATTTATCAGGATTTTTTTTCTCCTTTCTGTTAAAAAGAAAAGGTCTCATTGCACTAATCATTAATTATAGGGTACTGTACATTAATACAATGGAGAGTTGAATATTTATCACATCACACCTGTTCCCTCATGTGGCTTAAGAATTATATCTATTACTGATTCTATAATAGACATTTTGAAGTTCAGAGAACAAAATTCAAATTTCCTGTATCATTATTCTGATACATCATTCTAAGAACTTTTGTTTGTTTTTTAAACATTTTACAGGATACTGAAGACTCTGACTAAATCTTAGACTCCATGAATATTTTCATCAACATATATGTAGAAGACAATTTAAATGTAGCACAGGAGGTCAGGTAAAAAAATATTTTCACCAAGATATTAAAAGAACCAGAAGTTACATTTCTTAATGCTGTCTGAACTCATACTCCATTTTAAACTAAACCACATAAAAAAAATGTGTAATTTCCATTTTGTAATAAAAATTTTCTGATATTCTAAATGTGGGAAATTCTGAGCTTTTGAAAAGTGTAACATTATCAGAAATAAGTGAAGTAACAGACCAAACTTGAAATATGTTGTAAAGATGATCAGTTGTAACAGCCAAAGCAATCCTGTTATGAAGCTGTTTCATCTGAAGATGCATGCAGAACTTACACACATTTGGATATTTAAATTATAAAATTATAGTTTACATAAAGATCCTCAATTGTTGTGGATCAAAGGTTAATGTTCAAATTTTTACAGCTACAGTTTGAATTCTTTTAAAGTCATTACAGAATTTTTCTAGCATATTTTACAGCCCTGAATCATAATTTCTGTATATCAATTGAGATTTTCCTACCCAAACACAAAATATGCTGGTGTTTCCTAGCCATTATTTCTGAATAAGAACTACAGAATTTATGTAGAAAAGATAGAAATCTTGGAAAATTTATATGTGAAGAAATTTGACATCAGTAATACAATCAGATTTCAATTCTAAAGATGATATTTGGCTAGTCTTAACAGTCCACAGCATATTGCAACTTAGCTTGGAACCTTCTTCACTTTCTTCTTTAATCATCAAAACAATGAAAGGCAAATTCTGTACTATTAAGTGCAAACACAGTTTCATTCAGAACTGATGGGGATGGCACATACTTGTATATGGCAGTTTACTGAATCATTTTCAACAGCTTGATCAGTATAGTGGTTAGCATTAACAGCTGCTGCATCATTCATTGGGCTTGGATTTTAATCCTGGAGAAAGGGTGGCTGTTTGTAAATATATAGTGTCTGTGCGATTTGGGGGCACTTACAACACTTAGCAAGCCAAAAGTCCTTGCAGGGGGTTTGATAGTAGGGGAAGAGGCATGGGGAGATTCTTGGGCCCCTCCATCAACTAGGATGAAGCTGGGCAGCACCATACTATAACCTACATGGTGCTCAAAGCCCACTGCTAATGATGAATGCATGCATCTGCTCCTTGGCATAATAGAATTTGTGGACTTCTTCTAATTAGGTCAGACATGTGCAATAAACTACAACTACTCATTTCTGCGTTAATTCAGTAAGGACAAGTGGCTAAAATAAATCCCCACTGCTGAATTCTGCTAGTAATCAAAGTAACTATCTTTTCTGAGTTATTAAATTAAACTGTAAGTGGCTTCTGCTCATATGAAAATTGAAAGGTGCACCAAATATATGGTTTTGAAAACAAGTCAAATTCAAATATTAATGTTAACATTTACCTGTCAATATTATAACTTCTTTCAGCATATCAGAGATTTTTGCTGAAAATGTAATATTTGCTGACGTACAAGACAAATTAAGGCAATCCAGCAGTATGGTGACATTATAGGCCAAATGAATCCTTCTTTAGGTGAAAATGATTTAAAACCAATGAATAATGAAAGAAGTCTGAGAATCATAAATGCTTATTCAGGACTTCTGCTCTACAGTCAAAATGAAACTTTTCTGACAAAACACATATAATGATTTGTTTTGCTGCATTGGAAAAAAACTTGGCATAATAAATAATTAAACCTAAATACTGCACTTAGCCTTCAGAAAAAGTACTAAATTTGCAGGGAATTTGGAAATTTCTGCTACAGCAGCCAATATTTCTTGCTTTTGGGTAAGTTTAAATTGCTTTAATCCAGTTTGTTATCTAAAATATTATGATCTGTTAAAAAAATACATGTCTCAGCTTTTAATTTTAATCCTCTTTCTTTGAGATATATGTTTCAATATTTTCATTTGATCCATAATATATTTTAGTCCTCTTTCTTTGAGATATATGTTTCAATATTTTCATTTGATCCATAATATATATATATATACAATATTAATACATCGGTTAAAATTCACTCTACAGAACCCCTTGGTGAAGAGTTTCTTTTTTGAAGCCAAGATCAGAGCCACGAAGGGTCAGCACCAATTTCAGGATGGTGCCGATTCTTCCACCCACTGCACAAAACCAAAACAAAAAAATCAAACACTTACACAAACTCGGTGTCCATGTACACATCGATCTATTTTAACTTAAAAAAACACCAGAGAATTGCACAAACTAGGCACTGCTTTAACTTTGTCCATATACACATCAACATATTTTAATTTTAAAAAAATCAGAAAATTGCACAATGCAGGCATTGTGCACTGCCTTAACTTTGTCCATGTACACATCAATCTATTTTCACTTAACAAAATCAGGAAGCTAAAACAAACTATCATTTTAACCAGAAAAATATTGGCGCTATCTTAACACACAGAGAAGAACAAATAACCAAAAATAAACAAACAGAGAGGAATAAATAACCAAAAATACATATTTCCTAACACAATAACACTAAACAACAAATCTTTCAACAAAATTTAACATACAGAGACGAATAAATAAATGAAACGTCAATTTTATAACATACCTTATTTTTCTCGTACATATGTTTAGGCTTCCCACAACCATCTCCTCCACAAAAGCAATTAAATTTTTCGTCATTTCGGCTCATTCATATCTATCAGCAATTAAACCAGCTTTCATGCAAAAATCAAATGTCTTTTGTCCATCATCCAACCGATACAATAGTAGCAAGCAAAATAATAACACGCTCCAAATACAAGACCATACCACGCATGTGCAAACAAACACAGCAATTCAAAAGAATGTTAACAACCCAAAACCCGGGTCCATACAAAAGGGTTACTATCCCAAGTAGCACAGCAACTGGTCGCAGATGTTGTTGCAAAAATGTTGCAATATGTCGTTTTCAAGACACCCAGATGTCCGCAAAACTCCACTGTTCTGCAACTGTTGCAAAGACGTGTTTACATCTTTGCAGATAAGGTTTATGTTGAATAGAAATTGTTATTGCGTCTTTCTCACGTTATATTTTGGTTGTGAAAGCATTGTATCATGTCTTAATGACGCCTAAATGTTCGCAGAGTTCAACCTTTTTGCAACAGTTGTGAAAATATAGTTATGACGTCCTTGTGTTACATGTTGATTTATGCAGAAAAATAAGCTTAATAATTAATGTATTTTTCTTCTTTTTTTAAAAATTTTGTATTCCTTTTAAAATTTTGTATATTTTGTATTTTTCTAAAGTTTAAATATTTTATCATTACCTGAAAACCAGAAGATCATACAATTTTTCTCTTTAGACTAGATATGTATAATTAATAATAGCATTAATTATTTTCAGTACTTTAAACTATATTTTTAAATAGCTTAAATTCTAAGTCACAATTATTTTAGATTTCATCATTTTTTTCCCTTAATCCTTTAGTATGTAAATGGGAGTAAATATGAAAGTGGCTATTATAAATATATAACAATAATCGTAGGTTTTAAGTAAATAAAACTCAATCAAACATAAATAAAAGTAAAGCTATATATGTGGGTAAAGAAAAGTGTGTTTCTGATTATCACATTTATTTCTGTTAAATCTGAGACGATGAAAATTGCCCCTGTCATGATAAATTAGGAAGTGGTTCTTAAGGTAACATGATCAGTATTTTATCTGAACTCAAGTATAAATTTATTCGGTTTTCACAGTAAAAAATATAACCCTTAACTTCTATATCTCCAAGATATGCATGAAAGACAGTAAAAGTAGTTAAAAAATGTGATAAAAAATATACCTAATCTAATAACTTCCCATATTCATATCTAAAATGAAATAATAACCTAACAAACAACATACATGACAGCACTATTTAAGAAAAAACATGAACTAGTTGTGTTTGAAAGTATAAATAGCAGAAGAAAGGTAACAGAACTAAAATTTCCAATTAATAAAAAAAATATTTGTGTTTTTTTTAAATAGTAAGCAATTAAAAGTGCAATAATTATGGATTGCAGTATTTACTAGTAATGCTGATGTTTCTTAACACCATTTCTTTCGATCATATGTA